ATAGGCAACAGAGACAGCCCAAGGGAAGAGAACCAAGGGGCGAGATCCCTGGCAGCATTGCAGGCTGCTGGGGAGTTACTTGTGATCGAGGAGCTTTATGACAGTTCTTAAATTGCTCTCAGGTTGGCTATAACCTAAGAGTAACTCCACTAATTAATTTTGTGAGTCTGGGAAGAAGAAATAATAATAATAATAATAATAATAATAATAATAATAGCAATGTTGATGAGATGATGCTTCATTATCCTTCCCAGTAATGTCCCAGGGAATTTCTCTGACTTTTGGTAATCGTCAAATAGAAGTGATAAACTTATAAAACTTGATTGGGATCTCTGTGACTCAGTGACAGAAAATTCCCTGTTGAAAAGCAAAGATTTATTCCCCACAATTTGGCAAGGCCCCAAGGATGGGCCTGTCCATCCCTTCTTGTTTTGCAATGACATCCAGGAAAAGTACAGTAACTCAGAGGAAGTAAATTCAGGTTTCCTGTGTCCCAGGAGCACCCTCCCGTTGACTAGCTTGCTTCTTCCTCATTTCTAGAACTTCCACTTCCCTGAACGTTCTTCTGGATGCAGTGAACAGGCTACACCTGGATATGCCTAATCAACAAATATCTTAGGGAAATACACACTTGAGAGAACCTCCAAACACACAATCCTAGAAGCTGCTGTCTGGTGTTCTTGGGGATAGATGACTCAGTGGCAGGCCCGGGCTGGCCCTCAGTTCGTAAGTTGGTCTGGGCAGCTTCTGTCAGTTTTCAGAGGCTCTCCTATGGCTTTTCACTCTCTGGCATGCTTCTTGTTCAGCTCTATGGTTATATGACTCATATAGTGTCTTCTTTGCAAGAACTAATATTCCAGGGACTCAGCTGACTCATACATGAGGGATAGGCATGAGGTACATACAGAGCAGTCTACTGAAGATGGGATTTATTGATTTTGAGAAAATAGACTTAGGGAAGGATAAAAGGCAGAATAATGAGGATCTTTAATCCAGAGCCTTCCCAGGGCATTATTTCAACATGTTCTGCCAAACCCAGTCTTTGGCTAAACCACATACTTTCTAGATAACTGCTCTTAATTTTCATTTATATCTAATCACACTTTATTTATTTTTAAAAAGATTTTATTTATTTGAGAGAGAGAGAGAGCCCACCAGCAGGGGGAGTGGGCAGGCAGAGAGAGACAGAAGCAGCCTTCCAGTTAAGCAGGGAGCCCCATGTGGGGCTCGAACCCAGGACCCCAGAATTATGAGCTGAGCCAAAGGCAGATGCTTAAATGACTAAGCCACCAGCACCTCTTTCTACTCACATTTTTAAAAAGGAAACATGCATCAATTTTTGAGGAAATGGAACCAACCCTAGAGACTCCTATAATAATAAATCCTTATATTTATATGATAACTTTATAGTTTACAAAGCTTATTATCTCACTTGATCCTTACAGAAACCCTATGAGGTTGATATTTTTATTTGGAGATTTCCCCAAAAATGTCCTAGGAGCACAGAGACTTGAACCCAGGTCTATAGAATCCAGAGTGCAGGTTAAAAAACAAACAAACAAAATGACACAATATTTAAAAACCAAACTCAAAAAAAAAAAAAAAACCACCAAACTTGTGCCAAAGCTCTTTATAGAAGCACTTTTGTGCGAAACTCATGGCAAATTTGATCATGAGCTCCTTTTCCCTCCCTAAAATGCCCCAGATTCTGGGAGCTCTTGTTAGAACATGGCCTTTCCTATAACACTGAGTCTTTAGGTAGTGATGTTCCAAATCATAGCAGTATTATTCAATGCAGTTCTGCATGCAACTTCTCTCTATACTATAAAGTAAAAAAAAAAAAAAAGTTTTTTTTAATGGAATATTGGGCCATCTTGTGAGTGTACCCTTTTTCTACCCAAAAAGGAATCAGATACTCCCTAAGAGGACAGCAGCTCTAGGCTTCTCCCTTGGAAGTCTAGTTAACTGTGGGTGTACCTGCCAATACTCTAGTTTACACAGTGCTGAGGAGGGCTGGATGAATCCCTCTTGGTGAAAGTACTTCTGCAAACTCTAGAGTTCTGGTAGGTGAATCTACCATTTTCAGTTGAAAAAGAAGCCAGTAAACTTTTTCAGATGGGCAAGGAGTATGCAAAATAACACATATATTTAGGAAGGGCTTATTGACATGAGAATCCTAATGACTGCTGGTTCAAGGCATCACTCTGCCCCACCACCAAATTATTGTATTTATTCTCAAAGCCCTTTTCATTAAGCATGAATTACATTTTTCTATACTTTTAAAGTCACATAAATTTAACTCTGGTTGGTTGCATGAGCCAAAATCCCCCCGTTACCCTCATAAACTCCTCCCCCACTACTCAGGAGAGGAAACTTCTAGTGTGCCCATGAAGTAGGGCTCCTCCTGGCTGGGGCTGTCTGAGCAGCTCTCCAGAGAGAAGGGGCTCTGGGTTGGAAAAGTGATCTTTCAGGAGACATAACTATGTCAAGATAAAAAGAAGCAAGACTGGTCCTGCAGGGTCAAGCCTCAAAAACCCAGAAAGCACTTAATATATGCATCAGTTGGAAGAGGAGGCAGAGAAGGTTGGAAAGATGCCCAGCTAGGTGGTCAAGAGGGATGGAACTTACCAGTGAAAAGGGTGGTTCAGGACCCAAGTCCACAAGCTCTGAGCATCTGCCAGCATGACAGAGTGTTTGAACCAGAGTGATCCATTAAGTGGGCCAACTCAGGACACAAAAATCAGTTGACCTCTTATAATTTCTTAATCATCAAAAATTATCTTTTGGTTCATTTGATTAGTACAGATTCTTCTTTATAAAAAATAATCTCTTATCCTGAAAGTTATTATGTGATCTTCAGAGGTAATGTGCAGTTTTATATCATACTCAAGCCTCCAGAGTTCAAACTTGTTGTCAGCATCTGCTTTGGAGGTAGGTATTAAAGATCAGTTAGTCTTTGGGCACTACTACTTCATGATGTCTTAACTCATGAGAGGCTGAAGAAGGAAGAGGAATGACTATTTACAGTAAGAGCCATCATCCTTTCCAGGCCACTAAAATGTACATACTCTCTGTCGAGTTACCTCTCTTTCAATAACAGGTTCTTGGGAAGCTGAATCTGTTATAAAACCTTGGTCTCATCAAGGAAGGGGCTTGGATGGAAAACTCTCTTCCAGCAACCAGAAATGCTCATGCCTCCCTTCCTGAGTAGTGCTGGAAACAAGCCAGTTCCTGGTCCATCCCTCACCTCTTTCTTCAGACAGAGGCTCGGAGCTCCTTCACTTTCATTCATGGCCTCAACTCCCAGACTCTACTTTATCCCTGGCCTTTCTCTCTCTGAACTAGAACCATTTTTTTTAAAAGATTTATTTATTCGTGAGAGAGAGAGAGAGGCAGAGAGAGAGAGAGAGAGGCAGAGACACAGGCAGTGGGAGAAGCAGGCTCCATGCAGGGAGCCTGATGTGGGACTCGATCCTGGGTCTCCAAGATCACACCCTGGGCTGAAGGCAGCGCTAAACCGCTGAGCCACTCGGGCTGCCCCTTGAACTATCTTGAACTCTAAGGCAACTTCGGCCAGTTCCATCCAAGATGCATGAATATTATTATTATTATGAATTATTATGAATATTATTACCAACAACTTCTGTTAACCAGAATTAACGTTTACAGAGCACTAACCACATGGCAGCCATGTAACAAACCTTCATTATCTTCATTAACTTCATTGGATTCACTAATCTTCAGTAACTAATTGAATTCCCATAACCCTTTGAGGTTGGTACTAATAATTAGCCCCATCTTACAGATGAAGAAGCCAAGGATTTGGGTGGTAACTTGTCTAATATCGCACAGTTGTTAAACAGTGAGGCCATTTAGAATTCCTTCATGGATTCCGAATCACGTAGAAAATTACAGGATTTCAGCCTTAGTAATTTTGACTCCAGAGCCTGGGCTCAACCATTAGGCAATATTCCCTCCAGAAGTGACCTTGACCCACCTCCCCAGAGTGTCTTGCTGTGGACTCCTATACACTGAACACAGCCAATGATGACAAGTGGTCATGAAGGCTTTCTTTCTTGAAATTTAAGCTTAACAATAGTTGGTTTGAAGTGTAATTATTAGAAAGCAAGTCACAATCTGGAGGGAAATACCTACAAAAAGACACAAGGGAAGTCTGAGAACTCATCAAAGTCAAGCAGTCCCCACTGTGTGGCTCCTGGTGTAACGTCTCGAAAACACACGTTATGTAGTGAGCTTAGGTAAAATGCTGAAAAAGACACAAAATCACACCTAAGACCCTGCCCACATGGGAAGACTGTCAAGAATTACCTACACCTCAGATGGACCGCCCTACCGAAGGCCACAGAGAAGACTGGTTCTCCTCAGAGACCACTACTTACTTCTCATGTTGTGGGCATTTCCTAACGAATAAGCAAATAAATAAGTGTCTTTATAATGTTCTGTGATTCAGAATCAGTGAAGGAATAAGCCTTTGGTGCTTATTTATGAAGGATGTATCACAAATACCTGGTGTCTCAAATGGCTTTTGAGAGGAAAGAACACTGAACAGTAGTTCTCAGGCCACATTCACTAATCTAATCTTCTCTCATATGATTCCAAAAACATTTTTAAAATATTTAATTAATAGAGAGAGAGAGCATGTGTGTGCACACAAAAGCAAAGTGGGCAGGGGCACGTGGAGAGGCAGATTCCCTGCTGAGCAGGGAGCCAGGTGTGGGACTCAATCCCAGGACCCTGAGATCATGAGCTGACAGCAGATGCTTAGCTGACTGAGCCACCCAGGCACTTTTTTTTTTTTTAAACAAACCTAGACGTAAGAAGAAAACCGCTTGAGTTAATGTGGATAAAAAAGAAAATGGGAAAAAATAAAAATCACAGATACTCGCCCAAGCTCATTTCAACCATTAGGATTCTCCTCCTTTAGATATTTTATGGTTAGTAATATAGACAGGATGATATAGATGGATAGATAGAACAGCTAAGGAGTTATCAATGATTACTTTATTGAGCATTACAAGGTGTGCAGCATTATACATAGCCTGAAAATGTCAAGCTGACTTTTGTCACACCCTCTGCAAAGGCTCCCCTCATTTCCATGGTTCTGTGGGCTTTCTTCCCGTGCTCCGGGGCGCACACTGCTAGTACCACTCTTGCAGCGCTCAGCATGATGTGTTACAGCTGTCACCTGCACCATGCGTTCTCTCCACTAGATTTCTGAACTCCTCCAAGATGGGATCCACATATTCCTGATCTCTGCAAACTCGATGTTCAAATACACGTGTTACAGATGAATGACTGAATGATGGGTGCTTCATTCTAGTACCTTCTCCCAACTCCCTAGTTTGCATCTAGGTGGAAGTGCTAATGGTGAGAGAGAAACCAACATTCAAAAGGCACAATGGAAAAGAGGAGTATCCCAAGGCGTGGCTCAACCACAGACTAGAAATTAGCTCCATGATAAAGAAGAGTTGGCTGACCTCCCCAGGGCCTGAGAACATAAAAGAGCCACAGAAAAATCTTCAAGCTAGATACAGGGCTCATTAGTCTAAATTCTCACCTCGAAGCCCAGAGTAGGTTGATGGGAACAGTCCAGCCACCTGCTGGAGCCAGTTCCAGTAAATCCCAGAGCTTCAGCCAACCTAGTGGTCAAGAGAGGATGGGCTCAGCCACCGAGCCTTAAGGATATATTTTGCTTTATTATCCTTTCCCATATTTCACAAAAGGCCACACAAGAATAAATAAATAAGACACTACACAATTATAAGTGAAAAAGAAGGCATTTCCAAATGGCTCTCAAGAAGCGGTTTGGATGCCTTGTTCCTTGCATGGTGCCAAGGGGTTCAAGCTGCCATGGGCGCCCTCTTTGGGCCTATCAGTATGCAAATTATTCTGAGGGAATACAGATTCTGCAGGAGGCAGTCAGCATGATGCTGTGTGTGGATGGCTAATCACTTCATCACATAGGCTGAATCCGATGGATGAGTCAGGGGCTAGACTGTTTGATGGACCGAGAAACCCTGCCATGCTCCAGGGAGGCAGCTGAGTAGTAATGCACACACCACAGTATGTGACATCCGAGGTGTGATAGGACAGGCGGAAAAGAGCTTGGCTCCGGATCTGCCAGCAGCCAGCAAAGAAACGAAAGGCAAGCCTGCTGCCCCCTTATGTCTCAGTTTCTTCATCAGTTGAGGGCTTGGCCAGACCATCTCTCTGGTTGCTTCTAAGATTCCCTTCCTTTCAGCCAGCAGGATTCTTGATCCATCAGTACCAAGGCAAACCCTCACCCTGCCACATACCTTCACACTCACAAACAGAAGTGTTGCTAAAATACTGCTTAAGATTCTTGGATAAATCTAGTGTACATCCCCTATCATGGACCAGTCTGGTGTTCATAATCCCCAACATTGTATCACCAATTGATCAGGATGGCCACTCTTCCACTTTGGGTGCAATTAAATTATTTTTCTGCGACATGTAGCTCACGGCACTCATATTTCTTGTCTACCTACCCACAGCAAATATTATTTCTCTCCATTATTCTCTCTTTGTTGCCTTTCTGGATCCCAGCTGTTTACAACCAACTTTCAGATGGATGGTACCCTGTACCCCCAAGACCAGTATTTTATACTTGCCCCATTTCTACCTCATGGCAGCTCTTTAGAAAAATCCAGATGATTCCATCTCAGCTGTGGAAGGCAGAGCAAGGTTTGGAAGATTCTGCTTTCTCTTTCAGGAAAAGATTTAAAATGATAAGTGCTTTTTCAAAAAAAATAGGGATTAGCTCTTAAATCAAACTTGCATTAACAGGAGAGTTGTTTTCTAACCTCAAACATGCTATAAAAATAATTTCCTAAGACACAGTGATTCTTAATCAAGTTTATGCCTACATAAACTTAGATATATATGGATATGGATTTTTTTTCTGAGATGGATAGAATAGTTTTTCTTTCATGGTTCTTCTGTATATATTTAAACCAAAACAATCATTTAAGGTGGGGGTCAGAGTATTTTGCTGTAATGGGTACTTGTCTGATCCATAACAAAGGTGGATCTAGAATGTTGGAGAGTACAAATTTTCATGGTAGCCAACATGTCAGTCTTTGAGCTCATTCTTAGCCAGAGATTTAATATACATCAAGTTAATCTAAGCTTAGCTAAGGATGTTCTCAGACCTACAGCACCTATTCAAACAGGGCTCTGACCCTTGCACTCTCTTCTTTATACCCGAGAGGACTGTACTATATACAGTTTTTTGCCCGTGCATTCAAACTTTGTTATGCCACATTTAACACAAAATCCTTATCATTACCTAAAAGAAAAATGCAGCAAATTCATCTTTGGAAGAAAAAAAAAACCCCAAACAACATTACAGTTCCTTGGAAGTCATGGAAAGCTCAGGGATCTAGCAAATTCCTTATCCCTAAGAAAGTTATTTCAACAGGGAAGCATGTCTGTACTTCACCAAGATCAGGTGAGTTGGAGAGAAAGAGAAGCAATGAAAACAAATCGACCAACAACATTTGTATAGGTTTTGCCTTAAGTTTCATAACAGAAACAATATTTCTTTTCCATTTTCTTAGAAACTCTTTGGATTAAGGTTGTACTCTTGCTAACTCTTCCCTTCTCTGTAATTCCTAGTTACCACAAATGAACACCAGAGTATCTCAGGAGGTCCATCCAGTAACAGAGTGAGTAAAGATTCTAATGATTTGGAAGTTTGCCTATATCCCACAGATGACCTACACATACATAATCTCACTCCCCACATCTATCTTTGGCCAAGTCCTAATTATACCATCTTCCTTTGCAAAAGCATGCAAATACCCCTACCAAAGGCCAAAATGTAATGGTAATTGACAGTGAACAGAAACCCATTATAAAGACAAAGTATTCCAGCTTTCTCTTTAAAAAAAATCAAATTCACTATAACTGGACACTACTAGTTTTTTTGGAGTTCTATAACTCCCCAGAATTGTCAAAGGTAACCCTGTAACCAATCTTCTTGCAGATACTAAAAATAACCTGAAATAGGCCACCCATAGTACCAAAAGCAGTGTCAAAGAGCAGAGAGATGGTGCCTCCAAGGCCCACTGCGATGTCCTTGCACACGATTGGAACTGCACCTATGGTGTGCATAGGGAAAGTGGCCACGTCCACAAGGACTCGGACTGGAATGCCCAGAATGCGGCAAATGGCCTTCAGCAGACAACAAAGGATCCGGAGCACGGCCCTGATGATTTTGACCATCACTTTGAGTACCTTCCAGGGAATGCCTGCCAACTCTTCCCCGATGGCCAAGAAGTAGGAGATGGTGGCTGAACCCAGGCGGTAAAGGCAACTCTCAATGCCGTTAATTACTTGCTTGGTAACAAACCACAGGAAATAGATAATGTTCTTCAGGATGCCTATTGCAACGTAATAAAGTAACTGGAAAAGCCTGATGACCGGGGTAGTGATGAAGCCCATCAACCTGCCCAAGAAGCTCCTCCTCTCCTCCGGTGCCTCCGGAAGCAGCAGAGCTGATCCTTCACTGGTCATGCTGGAGAGGGGACGAGTGTCCTTCTTGGACTGTACCGTCCGCTCCTCATCCTGGACTTGGTTGACCACCTCCAGGATTTTCTTCATTCTCTCCGTGTCTTGCTCAGTTTCGCCACAATTGTCCTGGAACAGCTGGGGGTTAGACGGAAGCAGTTTCTCAAGCTCCTTCACCATCACGTCTTCTATGATGTCACCATCCCGGGTGTGCTGGACAAAGCCCATGGCCCAGCCACCCCCGGGCATGGCACAACAGGCTGCCAGCCAGACAAACGCAGGGATGGTCACTCTGTCCTGAAGTCTTCGATCTGAGGGCACGGCGCCTGCGATGAGGTACAGGTCTTCCCCATTGCCACACTGCGGGGTCAGGGCCCGCTCCATCAGGCTGCGGAGATTCGTGTACCACCGCTCCTGGAAGGACGGGCTCATCGGTACGGCATTCGTGAGAGCGAAGGTGGCCTCTTGGAAATCACTGCTAAGGGAGAATGGGTACAGCTGTCCCCTTTGGTAATCAGGGTCCACATAATCTGTACTCAGGGCCTGCTTGCTTCCCAGGCTGTTCACAGAGGAGATGGCATCGGCCTCATCAGTCAGCTCCCTGAGGGTGCTGGTGGGGTCGTCAATCTGAAAGAAGAGGGCAGGTATTGAGATGCATCCTGTTCACAGGGGAGAGGGTGCACGCAAATCACCTGCTCTTGGAGCCACGGCTCTAGAGAAGTCCCCAGGGCACCCGCCCTCCCAGTGCCCGGGTTTGGAAGGGCTTGGTTCTCTGGAGCGCATACACTTCATTCTGCTATCCCACCACCCTGTGTTTGGAAGCAGCTTCCGAATAGGTTGTTTCCTAATTTACTGCCTGGTAAGTAAAGAGATCTCTTTACTTAAGAGATAGGTGGTAACACCCTGTCTCTCTCTCTCTCTCTCTCTCTCTCTCTCTCTCTCACACACACACACACACACACACACACACACCGGGCATTACACAATGAAGTCACTCTATCATATCATTTATAAAACATGAAATCCCGGGGCTTTTTTTCTTTTGTAAGATTTTATTTATTCATTCACGAGAGACATACAGAGAGAGGGAGAGAGAGGCAGAGACACTGGCAGAAGGTAAAGCAGGTTCCATGCAGGGAGCCCGATGTGGGACTCGATCCCAGGACCCCAGGATCACAACCTGAGCTGAAGGTAGATGTTCAACCACTAAGCCCCCCAGGTGCCTCAAAATCCCAGGGTCTTATAATGGTTCAAGCCCTGACCTCTACTGACAGAAAAGCCCATTATGATTCGTGCTTCCTGTCTCAAGACCAGTTTTTTAAACCTCTGACAAAACTTTCTTCTGATCCCAGGCTGACTAGTGTTTTAGTGTCATTTGCTATAGAATCATCTGAATAACTAAATAAGATCAGTAGAACAGCTCCCCATCATCACCATGCTTACTTAGTTCTATAGAACAGCTGAATCTGTCTTGGAAGGCTTCAATTTCTGAAGGAATGTCGGTGTGTATGTAACTAAAATACCTAACTCACCAATGGGAAACTGGACTAAAAAGAATATTTGGTTTAGAAAGTCTAACATAGGGGCACCTGGGTGGCTCAGTGGTCTAGTGTCTGCCTTGGACTCGGGTCGTGATCCCAGGGTCCTGGTATCCAGTCCCGCATCAGGCTCCCTGCATGGAGCCTGCTTCTCCCTCTGCCTGTGTCTCTGCTTCTGTGTCTCTCATGAATAAATAAATAAAATCTTAAAAAAAAAGTCTAACATATTCTTTGAGACAGTGTCACCTAAAGGGCAGATGTATTTTTCCATGCTCTCTGCAGACACAGTTTAATGATCTGGCTATTGCCATTATAGTAAATTACTGACAACACCACTCCCTGAGGACAAAAATATGCCTATGACATAAGAGGTAATTTCAGACTACACTTCTGGTTTACACTTGCCTTCTTGCATGCACTGCTAATCTCGCTCTTTGGTTTCCCATCAGAATCTCAGGATGGAGGGACAGGCACAAAGCTCTCTCTGTGGACTCCACCTCCCTGCTGACCTTGTCCCACTGGGTTGCCCACGTCATTGGATACAGTTCCTGTGTTTCATGGAAAGTTTTTTTTTTCCCTAATCACAACATGCTAAGTAGGTTTTAGAAAAATGAACTCTCCCCCTCCACCAGCATCCTGTCCCATAAATAATCTTGTAATGAATTCCTTTTCGAACTTAGTACCAAGAAAAAAATAGTCTCTGTCAATGAGTTGGTCTCTATACCAGACAATAAAAGCTATTTAAACCCATGGGGTTTCTTTTTGTTTTGGAATTAAATGAAAGGAGACTTTCAGTTTTCCTGCCAACATGCATGTAAGAAAAATAGATGGATAGAAAATTGCAAAAGAGGACCAGAGGAGAAATATTCATCCATTCAACAATATTTATTAAGCATATATTACATGTGACTGGTACCACAGAAGGACGCATTAGCACTGGGAACAACCATCACCACCACCACCATCAACATTTATTGAACACTATATGCCAGGTTCCATTCTACGAACTTTACGTGTATTAAATCATTAAGTGGTTATGCTAAGTCTTCACTCATTTAAACTTACCAAAAAAATGAGGTGCTATGGTATTAGTCTCACTTTTTGACAGATGAAGAAACTGAGGCACATCAAGATTAAGAAGCCTACTCGAGGTCACACAGTGAGTGGTGGCATCACCACATGAACACAGAAAGTCCAGCCCCATTGCTGGTGTCCTTACTGTTTTCTATGCCTCAAGACAGGCCTTCACATTAAGAAAGTCACCATCTATTTGGGGAAATGAGATACAAAGTTAAATAGGAAACCAAGAAAAAGACAATAGTGCCATGCAGGTTACCATAGATGCTAAATAAATGATATAAAGAGGGGCACCTGGGTGACTCAGTTGTTGAGCATCTTGCCTTTGGCTCAGGTCATGGTCCCAGGGCCCTGGGATCAAGTCCTGCATAGGGCTCCCTGCAGGGAGCCTGCTTCTCCCTCTGCCTGCATCTCTGCCTCTCATGAATAAATAAAATCTTTTAAAAAATAAATGAAATAAAGAAAAAGAGCAAAGGAATTTCAAAGGAAGGAAGGGCACAATGAATGCAGTCAGAGATGACTTCTTCTTGGAGAAGACAGAGCTGAGGTGGGATTAGAAGGATGTGCATGACTTCGATGAACACAGAGAAACAGAAAGGTTAGTTAAGGCTTAACAAGACTTTGGCATCAAGGCATGGGGGTAGAGACCACCAGCCTGTGAAAATAGAATGCTTTCTCTCTCCTTTTTTTTTTTTAGGATTAATTAACTTATTTGAGGCATTGAGGGGGCAGAGAGAGAGTCTCTAGCAGTCTTGAGCACAACCCTGAGATCAGGACCTGAACTAAACTCAAGAGTTGGACACTCAACCAAATGAGCCACCCAGGCACCCCAAAAATAGGATTCTAGGTAAGGAAAAGTGAAAAGCTAAATTGGAAAGGATAAGCAGGAAGCAGAGTATAAATGATCTGATGTACAGATAACTCATCTTGGGATAATTATTACTTCCACTTACTGAGCACTTGTGATGCACCAAGCACCACAGAAAATGGTCTATATATAAAGCATCCTTTTTAATCCTAATGGGATCCCCATCACCTCAGATACAGCAAAAATTGTAAAGCACGTTTGCAAATGACTACGATTCAGAAAGCACTGCCCTGCTGCATCCCATTTACTCTCCACATAACCCAATGGGAGAGGCACTGTCTCCATTTGACACACAGGAAAATGAAAACTCACATAAGCAATGGGTACAAGGTCACCCAATATCTAAGTGGCAGGGCCAAGGTTTATACCCAGCTTCTCAGGCTCCAAAGCCCCAGCCCCCCGCCAGCAGCAGCCCACACCCTTGGATGAGGAAGGCAGCATGAGAGCCACAGGGTAGCCACACTGGAGGACACAAGAAGGACAAGACACAACTGGGAAACACAGATGGAGCTGTTGGACAATCAGTCATCTAGGGTCACATCAAAAGTCAGGGGAGGAGAAAGCTTTGGCGAGAGAGGATCGACAGTGTGGCACCCACCACAGAGAGGGAAGGTTAAGGATGACAATACAGACCAAAACCTCTGAGGATTCAAGAATCCTTAGTGAGGCTTCAAAGGGCGATTTCCACTGAGGGTTTGGCAAGGGAGGCAGGTGACAAGAGTGACTGGATACAAGCAAGAGGGAGCTGAGACAGACACAGGCTTGTTGGAGAAGTCTGTAGGTAAAGGCAGGAGGTAAGGAGGCTCTTCGTTGGGAAGCAGGGCTCACAGGAATCAGCAAAGGTGGTCCTGCTGCCCCCCACACACAACCCAGGGAAAGGGGCAGGGTGGGGAGGGGTTCTAGGTCTCTGTGTGTGCGAGCGAACATTCTGAGGCCCAGAGGCGTCTCAGGGGCACAGTGCCACCGAGCACCAGCCCAATCCCTGAGGGCTTCTGGGCTGCAAAATCCCTACAGACCTCAGGGATCTGAGTCACCTGGTGCTGATTTGTCACTGAGCAGGGAGGAGGAGCTGTGTGCCGACCATGATGATGGTCTGCTGAACATGAACAGAAGCTACGGCACTCATCAGCAGTACTCTGCCCCCTTCTTCCCTCCTTCCTCTCGCTGTCTTCCCAACTCCTGTAGGAGTCCACAGGCACCTTCTCAGAAGCAGTTCAGAGGCCTGGCAGGTACAGGGGGCCCATTAACCCCCTTCCCAGTATCAAGACTGCACAAGGATTTTGACAAGACAACTCCACAGGGCCAGAAGACCAGGAGGTCCCAGCCAAGACCCCCAAGACCAGGTGGGGGACTGCACCATGGCCAGGAGAGTGGCAGCAGAGGGAGAGTGTGTCTATGCCCTGAGAGTGTGCAGAAACACAGATTGTTCCAGAATGCACAGCTGCACAGAGGCTTTGCAGTGGGCTTGAGATGACCAACCAGGTGAGAAGGACAGGAATGTGGGAAATGCCACCAAGGTATTTTAGTTTTAAAGAGCACACACAATGGATCCACCAGAAAGAGATCTTGAGGGAGGGAGGTGTCTGTGTGTGCCAGAGATCAGGCTCCTGTGCATTTGCTTCTTGCATTTTTACAGGCTGCAAGTTCCACAAACACCAGGATCATCTCTCATACTTTTGTCTGCTACAAACCAAATGAAGACTCTGCATATGATAGGTTTCTGGTAAGTGGTGGCTGATTAGTATGCTGGTGATCATGATGGCACCAATGGCACAGAGGAGCGGGACAGCAAAGAGAATGACAGTGGTAGCACGTGGAGAAGAGTCAGCCTGGAATGAGGGGACCTCTGCTGAGAACACAGGGGACGATGGAAGGGTACATGGGGCGTTGGTATTGGTGAGTTCTCTGCCATATGTGGGGGACGTGGCAGCAGGACCATAAGGAGAACACAGTGTGCAAGCCTCCAGAGGTCACAGTGCCAGGGAATTTAGGAGAGAGGAAAGATGCTGGGAAGAAATGAAGGCTGTGTGGAAGCCAGCCAGGGTTAATGGGACAGGACACATCTGTTTAGTCCAGGGTTGTAGTTTTTATACTATTTTACCCACAGCCATTACCCATACATAGTCCAGGGACAGGTGCAGAGA